ATATCAGATTTGTTTAAATAAAATTTTATGCTTATTCTGCTTAATTTCTGCTCTACTCTGCTTTTTTTTAATCGTATTTTTCGGACTATAAGGTGAAATATCAATGAACTGGTCTGTTTTCATGCATATGGCACACCAGATTATAAGGCGCATTAAGCGAAACAGAACAGTCAGATAAGTCAAACTTTATTCAACTCATTCACAATAACCACTTAAAGCTGGTTTGAGGTCAGTAAGCACAACCAGAATTAATACATAAGGCTCATTGTCAATTTTTGAGAAAACGTAAAGGATTTTAAGTGTGCCTTATAGTCTGAAAAATACGGTACACATTTCAACTGCTTTCTGATTTTATTTTCCTGCTTTCAGCAAACGTCAGCTGTTCAAATTCAACTCGTTAACTGTTTGCTGAAACTTTTTCAGCTGGCAATAAGCATTCACACCACGTTCTTACATAAAATACACATTTTTCTAGTTGTTTTCATTTGTGGCTTCTTTATGAACTTTTTCTTTAACTGAGCGAGCCTGTGTGATTTTGTCGTCTGTTTGCAAAATATCTCATGAACCACATGGTGGATTTAAAGAAACTCTTAGAAAGTAATCAATCATTAAATGTGCATCTACCACTAATAAACCTTTGAAGTCAATACAATATTAAAGGACTGATACAGGTATCTAACACACATCACGATGGCAATAACTTAACTAGTTTTACAGATGTTGAGCTAACACAGGGTTATTCAACTGGTGGCCCGGGGGTCAAATCAGGCCGACAGGTGTGCTCAGTTCGGCCCACCAATGGGTTCATATGTAAATAAAACTAGATTTTAAACTGTCCTGATGCATGCTCAATAATCCAGGTAGAAAAATCCAAAAAAGTGCAATCTGGTCCTCTGGACATTCAAAAAAAACAAAAAAACAAAACAAAGCAAAAAAATGTCCAGAGGACCAGATTGAACTTTTTTGGTTAGATTTTAAACTGTAAAACAAACTTATTTAATGACAATAACTACTGGATGTCCGTCCCCTGAGCTCTAGGGTTTCAGTAACTGTGGCACCCTGAGTAATTTATGTGAATAGCCCTGCGCTAACTTTTGATGTGGCAGTAGCCAAATCAATCACAGCTGCAGCTCAGACTCCAAGCAGTAACTGATTATGTAAGATGCATGTCTTCCAAAACGGTTCAAGCTCTCAGCTTGAGATGATCTTGGTTTAAAACTCTGGCATGAAAAGTGGCAGGTGATGTGCTTTTCTTTGAGGTTGTCATTATGGGAGGCCTCATGTTCAGCTGCTGTCTTAGAAACATGGCTGCTGTGGGAAGTTCCCCGACATGACCTCATGTCCACATGTCAAGCTGTCCCTGCTGCCAAGAAAACAAGAGACGGAAAAAGACTGGACCAACCCTTTTGGTTCACTCAATCTGTCATCCCTAAATGATTATTACTAATGTCATCTTTATTATTACGAATATGTGACAGAAGCTGCAGTGCTGTTTACATGCCATCTTGATCTTGTTGCAGTTCAACTTGCTTCACCCGTTTCCTGTTGTAGCTTCAAATGCTAATCTGGACGTGATGGGCCGAACTGCGATGACATCATCCATGAGGAATGCTTGCTTTTGAATATGATACACTCTGATTAAGCCACATGTACAAAGCAGCTTTAAATGTTTGTCTTATGCTCTGTAATGAGGTTTGTCATCGGCTAAGTACAGTAAGTATAAACATAATTTTATGACACATCAGATTACTTAAGAAAATTAGATTCTGATGCCAAATTTGAGCTAAGATTCATTACAGAAGTTATAATATGATAATTAATTAACATTTCATATGAGACTAACTTAACCTGCACAGAGTGGTTACTTCACCACAGCAGCAATAACTCAATAAACGTTAAATATAAACAATTGTAAATAAAAACCTTGTATACGATTCAGGTGTTTTATTGTCATTTGCTATTAATATATATTAAAGCCAGCTGCTTCAAGTTTAGCCGTTAAATACATGGAGTTAAATGAGAAGGTTTTTGTTTATAATTATTCTATTAGATATTTGCAGTCAGTTCTGATTGTCTGTTAGCAAAATATCTCATGAACCCCCAAATGGATTTTAATGAAAGGTTGAGGAAATATTTGTTGGATGTATCTTCATAGCTGATTAATCTTTGGAGTTAATCTGATTCAAGATGGCCACCCAAGCCAACTGACCTTAAAAAACACAAATACGGCTACAACTCAGTCAATTTTACAGACGTTGAGCTACAAAATGGTGTGGTGGAAGCAGAGAATAGTACTAAACACATACTCTGAGTGCCATCTTGTGATATTGCTGCAGACTGTACACAGCCTTGTTCTCTTCTCTCAGCATAAGCTGATCTGTCTAAAAGGCAAGATATGAATATACGCTTGTACTACAGGTGTCATTATTATGTGGTACTTGAACTTAGTATTTTCTTAGGTGGTACTCTTGATAAACAGTTATTCTAAAGGATTATACTTTTTTTAAACAAGGAACCCTGACAACTATGAACTCAGCCAATAAGCATTTATACATTGACAAAATTACATTTGCAAGGAAATTATGTTTAAATAATAATAAAAAAAACATAAAGTCAATGTTAGGTAAAATGCTCGGAACAGATAGAGGTGTGCTGGTCTGAGTATTTCTGAATGCATTATGGGAAATAAACAAAACAAATAGAACCCTGCAGATGTTGGATGCTGTCTATCATGGTGCACTAAGATTCATAACTGGCTGTGATTATCGTACCCACCACTGCACCCAGTATTCACTGGTTAACTGGACATCATTAACTTCACGCAGACTCTCTCACTGGTACATTTTCATCTTTAAATCACTTCTTGATCTGTTGCCTTCTTACATCTCCTCCTTCATGTCTCTGTGTGAGTGCAGCTACAGCGTGCGCTCTCAGGACATTATTACCTGCAGTTTTCCCTCAATGTGGACTGAACTTGGCAAAAGGGTCTTCTCCTACTCCGCTTCTGTTTCCTGGAATATCTTACAAAAAGATCTGAAGCTCTCGACATTGACCTCTCTAAGTGTCTTTAAGAATCTGTTGGACTCCTGGCAGGGACCAATGCAGACATGTTCCTGTTTTTAGTTTTCTACATTCGCCTTAGAATCTAGCTGTTTTTTGTTACTTTTCTTTTTGTTAGCAATCTTATTTGTAAAAAAAAAATAATAATAATTGTATGACTTTTTATAACTGTTTATTGTTGTCCATTGTTGTCATCATTCTTTGTTGAAATCAGGTCTCTCTTGTAAATGAGTCCTTGAGGCTCAATGGGATTTACCTGTCTAAATAAAAGTTGAATTGAATGAAAAAAACAAATCTAATAGTTTTGATAACTTTAGTATTTTCTGCCTCCAGCCACTTTACCAGCGTTTCCATGGTAACAAAGACGTGAAATATGTGATTTATAATAAGATTATTCCAGATGATGTGTTCATCATGAGGCATCTACAGTCCCGTGACTTTTACAAATTTTTTTTAAAATCTTTATTGAAAAAGTACAAAACAATACAATAAAATGCAGTATACAGTAATGATATAACAGACGCCAGGGGCTTACAAACACTGAGACAATAATTTACAATAACATATTACATAACTATATTCAAGAGAGCACATAAGGTGCAAGGTTTTATGGCCTTGGTGCTGGTGGAATATTTAATAGTTTTGATGTATTGTTTGACCTCATTTTCAAAAATGGAGATAAGAGGTTTTTGATTAGTGTATCAACATTTATGAGTGACTTTTACAATTTGAGAAGGGGGAAGTAGAGGGTGGGACTGACGTCACGGCGCATGCGCGTGTTTCCACAGCGCTGTGTAACGTTTGTTCTGGATACCCCAAGAAGCTACGCAGTATGCGTAGCGACTGGGCGTAGAGCTCTTTGTGAATCCGGTTGCGGCGTGCCGACGACACCGATGCCTGTGTGCCCACAGACTGATCGCTGGGCTTCTACCCGAATTGTAGCAGCTGACAGGCAGATGCGGAGGGAGGGAGGGAGGGGGTTCGCCAAAGCCAGCGGATTTCACACGGTCCACGGACTAGAACGCGCCTCTTTCTGTGTCCACATGAGCGGATGACAAGCCTCCGCAACACAACTAATGCTGAAAACTTTCAGCTCTCCATTTGACGCGGGGGTGCTCTTGAGATTTAGAAGCAGGTCCAAGTGCAGCCATGGTGCAGGTGCAAACTGTGGGCTAACGGTACTGACATGACTGGTTCGGCGCCGACGCGTTTGATTTGTGCCATGCCAGCCCCGCATTTTTATCAGATGCCATTTTCCTCTGCGGCTCCCCGGCGTCTGGGATTCCAGTGTTCTGGGCCTGTTGTATAATTAGAAGTTTATAGCGGGCACGCTGGTGCAATGAGAAGCTTCGCTGTCCGAGAGGCTGTGCGCAGTTTGTGCTGAAGCGTTTATGGGTCCTGCGTACTCGAGCTCCCGGCTTCCACTTGGAGAGGGGCGCTGCTGCGGGGCTACAGCGCGCAGGCTGTCGGCTTCACATCTGGACCGCCCGGCTGCTGTCGTCTGCGGCCTGTTCGGACCGGAGACTCCCTGAACTTGTATGTCTGAGGGGAACCGACTGAGGCCGCCCTGGATGGTGTCGTGTTAGGGCGAAGGGTTTTGGGGGTGTATATTCGGCTCGGTGAGCCACTGGTACACCGTAGCCTTGACTATCTTGACTTCTAAAGGAATAAAACGCTTGTTCGGCTAGATGCGCTCTGCGTAGCGAAGTCACGCATTTTTTTTTTTTTTTTTAAGGCAACGCTAGGGTGACATTGCAGTGTTCTCACATCGGTATTTCTTCGTCTGATTTAAAAAAAAAAAAAAATATATATATATATATATATATATAATTAAATAAATAAAAAAGGGGAAAGTGGAGTATTGTCCGCCTTACGTCTCAACGCAGTGGGATTTCTACGTCTGGTCGGCGTTGCCCCCCACCCTTCCCGCGGTGACGGTTATGGGTCGGAAGCGGTGTGTCGGTGCAGATTGTTCCAAGATGGCGGCCGGGTGCTGCGGGGTGAAGAAGCAGAAGCTGTCGGGATCTCCCGGTTCGGGGGGTCCCGGCGGGGTGGGGGCGGCGGGAAGCGGGGTGATAGGTACCGGACATTGTGGCTCGGATTTGGGGATTGGCTCCTCCGCGACCGTTGCAGCAACGGCGAACGTGAGCCGAGTGAACGGCCTGGGGGGACCCGGGGGTAATGTTAGCGGTTGTAGCGGTGGCACAAACGTTCTATCTCCAGCCCCGGCCGGCTACACATCCGGCCTCTCCCCGAATCTCAGCCCGGGACCAGGTTTGGGAAGTGGTGGCAGAAAAATGATCGTCTCCGCGGAGATGTGCTGCTTCTGTTTTGACGTGCTTTATAGCCATCTGTACGGATACCAACCTCCGAGAACACCCAGGTTTACAAATGATCCTTAGTGAGTATCTTTGGCCTTTTGTTGTGTTCGTAAAATCTCATTGTTGTTGTATTCTCCCAACAGACGTTTATTCAACAAAACTTGTTGTTTGGCTTTTAATTTTCCTTCAGAGTACAGCGCACTAACTGTCACACCGGAACAAGTTTTAACTTTGTGTAAATTTTACTCAAAGAAACTCGATGATTGTAGCTTAAATGACCAAGTTGAAATTCAGGCCTAGTCGGAGAGGGCTGCGCTCAGACAGGTGTTGTGGTGAAAAATGTTACCCTTCCGAGTTAAGCACCCCCGTCACATGAAGCGCATTTTAAGGCAGTTTTGCGGACAAATATAGTAACTTTAGGGAAAGACTGTTTTAACTGGCTCGTTTATTTTTACATTATTACGAAGAACCCCCATATTTTAACTAGTATTTCCTCCGGTTTTAAATAAAAGAACAGACAGTGTTTGCCATGAAAGGCCAGACAACTGTGATATGCTAACAAAATTTTTTTTTACTGTTCCTCCAAGCATAAATATACATAACGTGATTTATTACAAACTAGAATTCACACTAATAAATATGAATTTCGTGGTTGCAACTCTTTCCTGGTCAGTAACGGTAAACTGCTAAAAAGTACCAGCTGTAAACATCATAAGCAATATTTTTATATACCCGGATCCATAAGGGTAACAGAGTTACAATGATGTATATTTATTTTTATTATTATTATGAATGAAACTGCCTCGAAATGCTGTTCCTAAGACTGAGTTGCTTCAAGGGCAGGGGTGCTTTTTTTCGGCACAACACCGGCAGCTTAACGAACTGTACACTAATGCTACACGGATATTTATTTGATTCTAATTTAAGCACTGTTATATTTCAATGAATGTTGATGCCCAATAACATTTCTTGGTTTTCATATTGTACTTGTCGAGTTAAAAGTAATTTTACGGTCCAGTCGGTCCTAGAACTCTCAAAACAGAGTGGCTAACATTAGCTAAGGCGAACTAGCGTTAGCTCGCATCCGCTAACGACTAAAACTGAAGAGAGAGTATGAATTTAGGGTGACAGCGGTTTTCATCCGGTTTAGTAGCTGTACGTTATCTTGGTAGCATTTAGTTAAAAACGCGAGCGTACAAAAACAGAAGTTAATTTTAATATTTGTAATCGTTAAAGTTGCCCTCAATGAACTCTGGATTGTCATATTCGGTTTAGCATTGTTAGCTGTAAGCTATGTTAGCTTAGTAGCGACTTGATAAAGTGGTGATTATCGTTGGATACATTCCCAGATATGACAGTTCGGAATTTTAGCTTTATTTATGATTTTACAACAAGTTGACAAGTTACCAACTTGATATTGTGAAGTTCACTGTCGAATCAAGGCAACCGACAACAACCCAATTTCTTACCGGCCAACAAAGAAAATGCGCTACTTGCTAAGTACTTAGCAGTTCTAAGCTTTGCCTAATTTAATCGGTGTTAAGGACTAAAGCAAACAAAGAAGCCAACCATGCCTACTTTAGACTTGCACATATTAATTATCTGATATACTCAAAGTAATAATTTAGTTAAGTAAATGTACATATTTAGTCAGCAGCAGAAAGCCCCACCTTTTGTTATAATCACACTGTACAGTAATGTGTATGAGACTTAAGTCTTGCATTTCAATTAGTTAAAGGGCCACATTTTTAAAGCCACTGATGTCATTTACACTTAATTGAGCCATAGAATGTGTGAAAAACAAGTAGTCACAGTTATAAACTATTGTAAAATCATAATACATAATTAACACAGACATGCATGTGATAAATATATATTTTGTTTTTAGAAACTTCTACTATGTCGGTCTGTTTTGTTTCCTTTCTGGCACGTCACTGCTTTGTGTCTTTTAATTAAACCTTTTACAAATAGATTTTCTCCTCATATGGCTCAGTTACAAACCGTAAAAGCAAATTGAGCTCCTTCCATTATATCGCTCACACACTCCAGGGGTTACCAGGTTTATCTCTTTAAAAAAAAGAGGCCCCCCCCCCCCCCCCCCTCTGCTCAGGGGAAAACAGGCATTTTTTACTGGAGTAGCATTTTCAAAATATATATTCAAATGCATCTAAAAAAAAAAAAATAGAACTTTTCACTATATTCTATTTTTTTTTTTTTTTAGATTCACCTGTATTTTGAGACTCTTGCTCGAAAGTCTAGTTTGAGTGATCTAAACCCTCAAGCATCTTCTACCATCTGTGCTCATGGGATTAGTGGTTAATGGAAGTTGTGATGATTTAAAGTGCAAGAAAATGTGCAGGACATTATGAAATGTTAGCCTTGTTAAGAAGGTGAGTGTGTCTGACCTTCATCACCCCACTTAGCTAACCGTCCGTCTGTAGACATGTCAGGTGTGACTGTGAAGCACCAGCAGGGTTGAGAACCTTGTTTTTATGGTCTGTGGTGTCCTCAACATGTCCTTCACTAGGGGGTGGGGACGACGACGACTTGTCAGGTTGAATTACTGAAATGTTCCTAACAACACCCACATGGATCAGAGACACAGTACTCTGCAGTGTTTTAGCTGCTACATTGTTCTTATCGATGGTGGCACAAAAGCGTTTGTGGTCTTTGTATTAATTATTGGCTGCTTACACTAATTTCAGTATTGAACCCCATTAAAATGGATTTTTAAAAACCTAAATCTACATTAAAACAGCAGTTATGAAGTTATTGAAACATTTACATTTTTAATTTACATGAGCTTCATTCTGAATACTAGACCAGCAGTGGTCAGCAAACAATGTAGATATTTCAGGAATTGGGTAATGTACTGGTAGTTAACCCTAATTTATCTTGAAGTGATGTATAACTTGAAATAATACTAACTTACATTTTAGAAAACAGACATTTGTGCTGTACAGAGGAGCTTTGCACGTACAGTAGAAAATTAAACATTGCAAAATAACTTGTGACCAAAAACCCCCACATTTATTTATTGTGCTAACAAAGTGACAGATACTAGCAGTGCTTTAACTGTTGGCAGTCAGTTGAGAACAAAACCAGACATGTTTTTTATGTCCTGTCTACATTACACTCAATGCTTTAAAAAGAAGAGGTGACCTGCTGAGTTTGACCTTCTCAACCAGTAAATTGTTTGGTTTTTGAAAACTATTTTATGAAAATGGGTTATTTATATTCTAGGATTTGTTCAGAGGGGATGCTTTGTTTCATACTTTTTGTAAAAAAGAAAAAAAGTGCCACCTTGCTTAAGGTTATCTGCAGAAATGAAATAATCTTAGATAGTATCAGAGTTGAGCATCTAAGTATTCATATATATATATATATATATATATATATATATATATATATATATATATGGATTTATTTATTCCTTAATTACATTTCTTATCACCAGCAGGCATGTCATGGTCTGTGTGTGTTTTATCAGAATGTATCGGAAACAAATTTTAATCAAACCTACAAAAAATAATCGTTTGATGTACGTCTACATCTTTGGAGCCAATCCAAATTATGATGGCTGCTGCAGCTAACTGACTCTAAATACACACGTAAATGGTTATAACTAAACTCGGCCAGTTTGACAGATACTGGGCTAAAATTTTGTAATAGCTGCAACATAAACTATAACTAGCACTAACTGATCGATTGAGATCTGTATTTAAAGCTCGGACCTGGATGGTGGCGGCTGATAGGCATTCCTTAATAAAACTACTTTTGATTTATGTGCAGCTAATTTCATTTGTGCTCTCACAATAAGTTGGAAATGTATGTCAAAGTAAGACATGAGAAACAGTTTCCTTTAACTGTAAACTTGATAAATGGAATAGTAGGCTATAATAATAAATAACAGGAAATAGTTTAACGTTCCTGTAGACATGGAGCCAGTGCAGCGTCCTCTTCTCAAACTGTTCTGCTCCAGTAATGCAGAATTTAATTAGATCATTTACTGGAATTGTTGTTCACATCCTTCTGTTGAAATCAGACGGTGATTAATGAACTCTAGATGTGCTTCTTTGTGATTTGATGTTCTTGTTCTCCAGGCCAGTTTCCCCCCCCAAAAAAAAAAAAAAATCTCACCAACAAAGCTGAAACTACAAAAAAAGTGTAGAAATTAAAATAATGTAATAAAATTCAGATTTCTAAAACTGATAAGTAAAAGTCTTGTACGTAAATATTAGCTGAAGTAACGGGTGCTGAAACAGCCTAATCACTCTGCAGGAATGTCCATGAGGTGTGAATGTGTGTTTCTTTTAAACATTTCTTCTGTTCTTTCCTGTCTTTCAGTCCGCTGTTCGTCACGTGGAAAATAGGCAGAGACAAGCGGTTGAGGGGTTGTATAGGTACATTTTCTGCCATGACTCTGCACTCAGGACTCAGGGAGTACACCCTTACCAGGTGAGCAATTTTGACATTTTTATCATTTTTAAGATACAAGAATTCTTAATATTACACTTGTGCGCAAATAGATTTTTTTATTTCCTTGTATCTAGGCTTGTCACGATAGCAAATTTTGCTTGGCGATAAATTCTCAGAAATTATTGCGGTAAATGATAATATTGCTTGAAATTTAATGTAAATTTTAAGAATGTTTTAATTTGTTTTTGTGTGTAGTACCTTTTTTGACCACTAGATGGCAGTATAAGACTGTTTAAACAAAAGGATGGATAGTGAGGGAGCAAGCAGCGTGTCTCTTTAAGAAAAATAGGAGGGAGGCCCCTTGACGTGATGACATGGGCTGTCTCTTCGGTTCTCTAAATGGCGGACGCTCGGTGTGGTTTGAGCTCTTTAGCATAACATTTTTCACACAAAGCTTTTAATAAAAAATCAGTAAACAAGTTCTCAGCTTCTTTATGCAGAGAAAACTTTTGTTACATGAAAGTACAGGTTTCAACCATGAATTTTGGAGCTTCGACAAGATGTTTTCTTTCCCCAAGGTCAGCCTGGTAGCTTAGCTTGTAGTTTAGCATCTCAGCTTAGCTGCTTTTAATGATCCAAAAACACGATTTTGGACGGCTAAAACAGATTTTAAAGAGAAAGGGAGGGGTCAGTGAAGAGCACCGGAGTTGAGCCTTTTGTCGTCCAGTGTCTTCAGTAGAAAGAGAGAGACACAAAGAAACGATAAAGCTGATAAATGAAAATGAGGTTGATAATTTTCATTTATCATGCAATTAATTGATTAGTTTATCGTTACAGGCCTAGTTGTATCTCTGTCTGTCAGTCTATAACAGTGTTTTGAGAGGTTTTTGAGTCCGTACTGTACAAGAATTTATCTGTTGGAGAAAAATATTCTCACTTTTACTTACTCAAAAGGAGTCGCACTCAATGGCAAGAGAATATTTTGAACTGATATTTTACTTACAAGGAGGACATGTTTTCAGGACAGGTTGCACAGATATACAGGAAGTACACGCATGAAGCCCAGTCACATGAATCTGCCACGGGCAGTGTGTGAAGCTCGTTTTTATACGCTTATCAGTTCAACCCAGCTCACGGACTGGGAGGAGTCCTTGGAGCGACAGCTGCATGTAGCAGCTTCACCCAGCTCCTCACCCAGCTCCTCATCCAGCTCCTCATCCAGCTCCTCACCCAGCTCCTCATCCAGCTCCTCATCCAGCTC